GATGAGACACCAAAAAGATAAGACATTTCTTTATACAAAGCTAAAAAACAAGAGGGTAAATGGTAAACTATAAAAAATAAAATGATACGAAGGATAACATATGCCTGTGTTATCCTAACACAAAATCACAAAACCATCTGATAGAAGAGAAGACGTGGCTAACACTGAAAATCCATTTAAAAGAAACATCTTTTGTCTGAGTAAAAAGTTTTAGAAGTGTCCTAAGAGGGACTGGATATATTTATAGAAATATAAAACCAGTTATTTAAAAAACAATGACAGTTGACCAAAATCTCTCTGAGAACACAGGGCAGAAGTGCACCAAGAATCTAGTCAAACCATTGCACACAGTCCTCTGCTATCACAAGTGATTGCACTACATCTCCTCCATGACATTAACAAGTCAAGGTTTCTTCTGATAGAGCCATTCCTGAGGTAAGAACGCAGACCAGAGCTTATATGAATGAGAACTGTATCTAGTTATAGAATAATTACTGCTAACAAAGCTCTGAAAAAATAAAACTCATGAAGTTGAGTGCATGCCAATAACTATCTGGAAGAACTACTATTCATGTCTTCACTGCAGGATTTTGCAAATTCTTAAGCACCTCATGCTAACCTTTCCTGCAAGCGGCATACCAGACTAGAGACACCATATAGTCCATTATTGCAATCCTTGTGTTCCCAGTACTTCTAAGAAGAGATCCTTCACACATGAAAAGAATATAGTTCAGAGGCAGTCTTAACACTTGCTAGTGGAACCACAAACAGCCTAAATGGACAAAGCAACCTAAATGATACGAAAGTTTCCCCCTGTAAAGACTACCTCAACAACTTTGAGATTAAAATACCATTTAAGGTGTTCTGCCATTCTGAAAATATCTCCAGTTCAATGTTGAGGGAGTTCATGTTTACTGTTTCTCAAGGAATTCTGTAAGTGTGCTCAATTTGAAATTAAATGTATTTATCACCTGGTTTGACAGGTCTGCAGCTCGACCCTGACTTTTGTCAAAAGCTATTATTTCTGCTCTATGCATCACCACTCTAAAGAAGTTCTCAAAGTGGATCTCAGTCAAAAGTTCTGTAGAGGACATGAGACAGCAAACAAGATGATTTACTCCTTCCTTCCTGAACAGTTTCTGTGGAACTCTGAGTAGTAGGAAACAATACAAACACACCATTGGTAATAGCTACTATCAAGAGAATACACTGAACATGCTGAATAAAACGTTAGTAAGTAAAGCGGTACCACTTCTACAATTATACCATAATTCCGTATGTACAATAATTAATGGCAACACTAAATTGTCACATCAAATATTTTTATAAGTACCTCCTCACTATAAGAGTTTTCCATTCTTTTGCTACATGCTCCTATCATGAACTTCTGTTGTTCACCCTTCATTTTTTTCCCAAATTATCCTCTTATTTGGGGCAGGGGAAACAATCTCCTCTCAAATCATACTCAACTCAGGCAGTATTTCCACACACTTTTTGCCCCATCCAACTGCTGCTACCATTAAAGCCCATATCCAGCTGTCAGTTCTCCCTTCCACTAACACTGTTCTCAATCATAACAAATTTCTTGCTACCAAAGCAGTATTTCCTTCTCACTAATTTTATTTTTTAAAGTATGTGTCATTTTTTACCGGTTAATTATCATAGGCAGCATACTCAGGGGTCTACACATTTAGGAGAGCAGTTGCTTGTACATTTTTATCATCTAAAATCCTAATGAGACAAGAACAGCTGGTTTAGCTATTTTTCTCATCAGCAGTGTGAAAGGTAGGAACAGATGATCACTCCCTTCTTCAACTTCTCTTTGATACCATAGCTCTCCTCTTACTCCTCTCACCACTGCTGCTCAAAATATTATTTCCTGCAGCAGGTTATAACCATCCCTGTCCTTATGTCATTTGTAAGTTTTGCTTTCAGTTCCCTCTTCTCTCACTTTATAACCTCCCTTTAGGGGAAAACACCCATTTCCAGTGTTTTCAGAGAACTGCTTTATACTGACAGCTTGCATCTTTCTCTCGCCTCCTATTTTTCATTGGCACTGCATCTTCAAGTATCTTTCAAGTCTGCAAATGTATCCATCCAAAACTCAATTGACTCCAAATGCAGTCTTTCCCCAACCACTTAGGTCTGACTTCTCTTGCGTTCACACCCCAATAACCCCTGTAGTAGCCTCTGGTGACCTCAGCTACCTGGTCCAGTTGAGCCATCCAAAGATGGACTACGTATACCAGACCACACTAGAAGCATGCACAAGGATTTACTATGTTTTGCATCCACTTGGAAGAAAGTTATCCATAAATTACCAGAGAATTTTGTTTTTCCTGGAACAAACTCTAATATGCATGTGTGTTTATACAAGGGTGAAATGTGCTATAGGTAAATGTGAACCATAGAAACAAATGAGCCACAGGACAAAGCATCAGGTTGTGCACTGTAGTTTCTATTCAAGGATATTTTGGTTTTGTAGGTTTAAAGAGATCCACACCATTACTGTAAAACTATCCTTGTATTTATGCTTTCTATAATGTCCCGTAGCTATGAACTTGGAGTTACAAGTTTTCTAAAAGCTGTATCTAATTACAGTGCTGAATGATTTGAATAATAGACTGCCTGACATTCCAAGATGAGTGGCTGCTACATTTCTTTGATATTAGGGTCATCTACTGTACTTATCTATTTTTACTCCATGCTCTCCATTGCCTAGTAATAAATTAATTTCTCACTGTTAGTTTGGCATGTGCCCTACAGTCAAATTCATCTTCTCTCCCATTGAAGGAAGAAAAGGTTTTCTGAAGTATGACTACCCTCCTTATTTTTAGAATTAGTCATTACAGATTAAATTCAAAATACAATTTTAAGAGGGACATTCCCACATAAAGTCTTAAAAGCTGTTTTCATATTTTCATTTTTTGAAAATTACCTGATGGCACTGAACAACATGTGACAATAGTTGTTTAACTACTTGCATGCAGGACTTTTTACTATATAAGGATATCATTTGAAAGAACAGTTTTTAACCTTAGCATTTAATTTTTGTTGCTTCCTGGTGCCCAAAACTCAGCAAAGGACCTCATGTGCACGTAAAATTATTATGAATGGCAATGAGAGTTGAGCTTAGATCTGAAAACAGAATACAGCCCCAAACATGTCATCACTATCCAGGCTGCAACAATTAGTTCTTATGTGATTTGGGTTGTTTCCAGAGCAGGGCATATGAGGAAATGTTCTAGCTTCTTTGCTGGTTACATGTTTTACCAGCAAGTCAGCAGTACTAAGAAGGAGGTATTTTGTAGAATCAACCCTTTCATGCAGAACTTCTTCCGCTCTTTAGTCTACACCTTCTAGCTCTTTCTATCTAACACCTCTATTTCGTTGTAGCTACCTTCTGAAGAATGGGGAGAAGAATTTAACAAATGTATAGTGGCAATCATGAGGAAAGCAAGCATGAATTTGGGAGTGGAACATGTGTTCAGGTACTGTAGATGATGAAAGGACTAAAGACACTGGCAAACAGGGGGTGTTCTCAAGCATCTGACAGTACTAATTGCTATCCTAAACCTACCTGCAAAGATGGTAATTATGAAGTAAAGGAAAGACATCAGAGTCATTCTTAAGCTAACCCAGAGCCAGGAAAACAGATGATTGCCTGTGTTTTGAGCTGTCAAAGCCATAAAGGAGAGCAAAGAAGAATTTGTAGGATCTCAATCACAGGAATAACAACACAGTTGTAGTTAACCTCAGGCTTACCACCTAAATCTGCATATTGCACTGCAAAATAACATGGAAAAGAATTTCTGGCATTTTCAGACTGTGTGACATGTGAATGACTACACATCAGGTAAAGTGACAGCATGTCCACAGATTGTTACTGCTCTGCTTGAAATTTAAGTTGCATGACAATTTTCGTAGATAAGGCTAATATCCAACACATTATCTGAAAGTCTACCTTTTGAACATCAAATTTTAAAGCCTCTAAACATGAAACTGAATCATCAGCTAAGATCTTTTATTTCTTGAGTCAAATCATTCATGTAGCTCCTTTATCTAAGAATTATTTGATTTTGAAAACATATTGATCCCAAAGCCAGCACAAAGTACTTTAACACCAATTACTGAAGTTGCACTGTAGGTTCTATATACCAGCCTCATTAGAAACAAGGCTAGGCTAAAAAACGTCTGTGCCTCCAGTATTTTTTCTGGTCACTCCCATTCACTTTCACAAGGATAAGTATCCTATGTTGTACTGCTGCAATTCCTTATTCAATTGTGAACATAAATTGGACGCCCAAAATGACTAAACAAAAAAACACACAAAAAAAGAACACAAACTACTATCCTTTCCCCCAACAAAGGAATGCCCTCTATCTCCATAACTTTGTTAACCTTAATTATACCTATAGTTTTGAGATTCCCTAATGGAAAGTGCTACAAAGCAGAAAGCACTAACAGAATGAATCATGACACACCCTGATACACGACTGATTATAAATCTATACCTTTTTTATTTGCACCCAGGGGTTATGCTTTGTATACTCATGAAAAATGACTTCCAAGTAGCAAAATGTCATAATTGCAGGCATGTATGTAAACAAACAGGCTGAGGATTAACGGGTATGTGATTTTCTTGTAGTTTATTTTTGATAGTGTAGCAACTAGATTTGAAAGATTTGTATAGTTTGGATAACTAATTTCTGAATTAAAGTTTCCCTGAGGCAGAGAAAAAGATAGATTGAAAGAGAAGGTTAAAAATCCTTGAAGGCATCCTTCTCAGACATGCGATACTCATACTTCTCTCCATGTTTCAGAATTTAATTATTACAGATCAAAAAAAGTTGCCAGACTTGCATTTGAACCAGAATTTCATAGACCTTTACAGGTAAAAGAACTTTAAAAAAAATCACTTTAATGAATGCCTCAGAAACATGTGAAATGCTCTAATTAAGACAGACACACACCCACCCCACTTTTTAAAGGCTACTTACATCAATGAGTGATGAACTCGACAGACTTAATCCCTTCAGGTCTGTTGTTAAACTTGGGGACAAAACAGCTGCTGTAGGAACTGCCACAGGAGTGGTCACAGGACAGACTAGAAGTAAAAAGGCAATTGATACTTAACTTTAAAAAAAAATCAAAATACTAGGACGGACAATGAGCTATTTTCATTAATTGTAAAAAGGTTTTATGTCTTCATCTAAATATTTTATCCTTGTATATATGTTTTTAATAGCAGAAGATTAGTTTTTCAGACATATAGCCCCAATACTCACAATCAACAATGAAAATATAAATAAAATTGATATATGTATAGACCACTTGTTATTTACATAAAAAATATTTTTCCTGCTTTCCTGTTTTCTCCTCTATTTTATCCTTCAGTCTGATCCATACTATGTAGCACATTTTCATTTACAAGTTATGTGCAAAGTACATATTAATGCAATTCTAACTTGTGTCGCACCTATAGAAGCTTGAAGAACTGCACTACAAAACATACCCAAAAAACAGTGCCAGCTCTACTCTACCCTTCCAAGATTACATTTTAATCCATTTTAAACCACAATCAAAATTGTGGGTTTTGGCATCTTATTATAGTACCACAATTGGTTCATAGGTTGCACAGATGTTGTACAAGTCACACCCATTGGCACCTGAGAAAATAATCCCACTTTAACAGAAAACAAGTCCAGACATACAAAAATCCTCAAAATAAATGTTTTATATACCAATACATTCTAAATTTTGAAACCATTTCTCAGTTCTAAAACAAACAAAATCACATATTGTAATAATTGTGCTTAAAAATAACTTGATAGCCTAAGCAATTTTTTTTTTGTCAGGAAGCTGTTGCGACAAATTACTGGAATCAATGTTTCAGACATTTAAAATTCATTGAATTAACCGAATTCAATTTATGCCATGGGAAAAATGAGGTTTTAATCAAGATACTTACGATCATCTAAATCTAAGAGAAACACATCTTGTTTGTTTGGAGCTTTTTTATCTTGCACTAGTTTTTCTTCTTTCTGTCAAAATACATGAATATTTCATCTTTAACCATATCAGCAAAAGAAAAGTATTTCATAGTTTTATAAAGCAAAGTGTAATTTCTCTGCTGTAAACCAAAAATTTATCCATTTTCAGGGCTCAGCACTCAGAGAATTAACCCAGTGAGAAAGACTTCCTTGTAGGGGCAAGCTGAACCTAAACCCGACATATGAGTTACATTTACTCCTCTGAAGCCCATGTTTTCATTTAATATTCCTAATAGTTGCTACTGAAAGAAAACTTTTGCTGACAGATCAGACACTTCTGTTAAGACCATTAAAACAGAGCTAGAAGCATTTTTTTTGAAAACAAGAGATTTGGGTGCTAACATTTCTGTTTCCATATGAAAAACAGGACAAAATCCGTTCAGTAAGAAAGTAGTGATTTGCACTTATCTAGGAGTATGGAATCCTGTCCCTTCATCTACTAGGAATTTACTTAATTGCTGGACAAATAACAAGAAGTAGATTTTTGTCACAAAAAAAGTTTCAATTTTTAGCCTTAAGAGGAGTTCTGTTAATAAGGATTGGCAGTAAAAAGTAGAGCAGTAATACAGTAGTATCAGTGACTTGGCAAACAGTATTTCAACAAATTTTTTTTCAATACAGCTAGATAAAGAATTCAAAACAAATCTAGTAAGAGTGAGTGTTGGTCATATCTACACAAGATGTCTGGACAGTGATGATTCAGGACAGAATGTAGTGTGTCACAGCTCAATACGAACTCCCAATAGGGTGGTTGACTAAAAAGGACTGCTCTTTGGATGTAGCCAGAACCTGGACATGTTACCCACTGGATGCTCATCAGACAGTTTGTCATCATGCTATTCCTATCCACTCTCAAGCATCCTTTGTCTGGATCAGCTGAAGAACTGCTTCTGCCTTTGCCTTCTCAGGCTTACTCACCGGACAGGTAGCTTTGTCATTCTTTCAGAGAATTTGTCAACTGCCTTTAGACCTTAAGACATCGCTCACTACCCAAAGTACTGCAAGTAATTTAAACGTACTCTTTCCAGGAGTCACACTTCTGTAAACCTTCAAGTCTACCAGTTTCCTCTTCAACAGCACATGACAATCAAACGCATATACATATATTATTCTTTTACCTTTTCTAATAAATGAACAGGTTTAAATAAATCAGTAAAACTCCACATGCCAATCTGGGCCTCCATTTCTTGAGCATTTCTTGCAAGCTGTCTCAGTCTCTTCAGGCATTCAGGACACAAATTCCTACAGGAGACTGGAGTCCTCTCAGAAACTCAGCAGCTAGAATTAATTTCTTTTACTATCACCACAGAATAAAATGACCCCTCTTTTCTAAAGGTGCATCCCCTTTCTTCTAGTTTCTCAGCCTCATGGTCAGTTGGAAACTACCAATAATGCTGAGTCTATTTTTTTACAATTTTGGGAGAAATTCCACCATTCCCTCTAAACAACATGGAAGAAACTAGCTAATGTTCTTGTTATTTGAAGCCATTCATGTTAATGACCATCAGGTTTGACCTGAGCCAAAATGACACTGCTCATAATTTTCTTCCAACAAACCCATGGCTCAAATAGACAATAGTCACTTATGTGATCATTACAGATGTGCTTTAGTATTCTAGGAGGAGAACAATTTTGTGGACAGAGAAGAATGGAAACCACTATTTTAAAAACTATTTTTAAATCAACATACTTCAATGGTCCTTATCACTGTAGTATTTGAGTGCTCTACCATCACTGATTTAAGTGAAACACAAAACTCCTGTGGACAAAGGAAATAGTACAAAATATCTTTAAATGGTGCTAAAGTTATTCCATTCCATTTATGTTTTGTTCAGAATTAGTAATGGGCGCTGCTGCAGAACCCACTCTCTTGAGCTCCATTTTGGTCACAACTACCAGACTTCATTTTTCTCTTCCAGTGTGATTACTGGTAAGTCATTAAGCTTCTTTCGGCTAACTTTTTTAAAAATCTGTGAAATACAGATAAATAGTATACTTCATAAGCCACAGGTTCTACCTGAATTACTCATGTCTATGGAGTGTCACAGAAACAATTTCATGACAATTCTTTTAATGAATTCCGAGTCTTTTTATAGCACCATTTGGTGCATACTTAGCCCTGAATCAGGGGTTTAGCTGCTATGTCCTGCACTTCTACTATAAACTATGTATCAGAACTTTTTTGCTAAACTACAAACTCTTCAGACACCAGAACATATTAAAAGAGAACACTGTTAAACAAAATGCAAATACATTTTAAAAAACAACACACTCAATTTTCTAATTCTTTCACTCCCTATCCCCACTTATCCACAAGATGCAGTTCTATCTTCAACCATGATTAAGGTTCAAAGGTTATTTTTAGCCAGAGTTCTATATTTGCTAATTATTCCAGTAGAGATGGGATTTCCCGATTCCATTTTATTATGCAGCCAATTAAAGTCTATAAAAAGTGGTTCACCCACACAAGAGGCTACAGCACAAGGATGAGAATTTTGAATATGTTTCAGTTCTGCCAATGGCAGCATTGCTACATCAAGATGTTTAAAAAAATTAGGAATCAGAGCCAAGAAATCCTCTTACTGTTAATCTGTTTACTGAAGATAATTAAGATAGGTCATTCTACGTCACAAATAACACCAATAGTATGCTTCAAGTTGTTTTTCCTGTTATTTATTTTGGCATTCTAAAGTAGTTACTAAGTACATATCACAAAACTCGATATATAATTTTATAAGATGAAACGCATTTCTGCACTGATACTCTTTTGAATTTATTACGTGATTCATCTTTAAAAACGAGGAAAAAATAATTCAAGAGAATTTATTATACTTCAAAATAAAATAAAATGGTCCTAAGATAAGGCACAAGTACAGATCATTACATCAAGGTAATACATGATAAGAAAAACTTCCACTGCACACTTTATCAGAATAATGTACTTAAGTACCTCAGTTTAATGTAAAAAAAACCAAACAATAAAAACCACAAACAAAAAAACCAAAAAACAACTCTACCATCTGGGAAATGTAAAATCAGAAGCTAACTAAATCAGGATAAAGCTAATGTTAAAGTATGATCACATTATATTTTCTACTTCAGTCAAGTGTGTCAAGCTTAAGTAAATACTCAGTTACTTATATATGTGTGTATGCATGCTGTATATACAAATAAACACAAATATTTTCATATTTATATGTATATTTCTATATATGCATATATATATTAATTGCATGAAATTCTGTACCAAACACCAAAGAAATCTATTTACATGGCTCTTGCCTATTACAAACATGATTATTTTTTAATCTGGTTTTTCCAAGAAAATAAAATTGATTGGCTTTCTAGGAATAATAAATAGCCAATGACTGCAACAAACACTACCAACAGATATTTCTATTGAATGAAAAAAGCTTTGCATTGCAAATCAACACAATAAAAAGGCTCTGACATGTCTGCCATTTCTCTATAACCTAATTTTTCATTTTTTTTTCTTAAAACTAAGTCTACAATATAACCCAAACAGTTTCCTACCAAGAGAGCCCACTACTGGAAAAGCAGAATATTAAACAAAGAAGTTAAGCCATATTCCATCAAACATTTCTCCATTTGCAATTCATCTTAGTAATAGAGATAGAACCTGGTAAATGCATATAGGACTTGAAGCAGGAGATTTCTCTTGCTTAATGCATAATTCATGTGCTCCGCCTGCAAAGTGTGTAAAATGAGAATTTCACACCGCAGCATGAGCCATGGAGCTGCAGAGAAAAGGCAGATGAAATCATATTTTGCTGCGCGAATTTTATTTCTTATCCTCCCAATATTTATACAAAACCATCACTGACAATCCAAACGCGTTGACAGATCACCCACTGTTTCCATTGTGTTAGCACTTGAAAAGAGACCAGGCAGAAAGATAGACAATTTGTTTTTGTATATTTTTTAAATAGTGGATCGGGTTTTTAACAGCTGAGTGACTGTATTATACTTGTATAAGGAGGTCAACAGCAGCTGATTTTAAAATCTTACTGTGGAGACACCTACTTACACATGCATCATCCTCAAATCTGCATTTTAGCTATACAGTATTTGTGCTTACAGTGTAATATATATCTGAACACCTCAAACTACCCATACTTCAAAATTATATAAAAACTGCAGTACAAGAGAGTGACTTTTCTATTCACAGCAGCTCAGTTACAGTGAATACAACAGATTTTCCAAAATGACTCTTCAAGAGAAAAAATATGGAAGCATTAATAATATATTCATGAAAAATAATCTGAAGTTTTTGTAACGTATTTTAATGCTAGTAAACGCTATCATGTATGCACAAATTAACCTCATATGTGAGTGTAATCGAACCTTTATTTATTATGAAAATTCTGCTGAACATGACAATGGTATCCAACAAAACATACAGAATGGTAAACACCACCCAAAACACCAGCTATGTAATGTAGTTTATAATGTGTGGCAAACTGAGAAACTATAAAAATAGAGTCTACTAACTATTCCTCTTATCAATACGTATTTCAGAAAATCTTTTCAGTTTTCTTTAAAACGAAAGGAAATCCTAATGAGTCATCTCCTGACACACACTGAGCAAATTAAGAATACTCTGTAGCAGAATAATATAAGCAATAGCTTTTCCAATAAATATCTATCAGAACAAAAGCAGGCATTTCTGAGAGCCCCGCTGAAACTGTCTGCTTCCTGGGTGGCCTGAAAAGAAGTCAGGTAGGAAGCAGAAGAAATCCAAGATTTTCCTGGTAATAAACTAAACATGGGTGGTTTTTGCAAAATGTACTTTGACACAAGGGCTCTAAACAAGACTTTATCAATAACGTTTTTCAAAGTTTGTTAACAGTTGCTTTTCTTTCCAGCTTGGAAGGGCTTATCTAGGCTATCATCAGTTAGATCCACCTATCATCACGGGGCTCAAACCAGGTTTCTCTCAAAAAAATCTATTAAGCTAGTTAGCATATCAATCACCTTAGTGATCTTTGTGCAGGAGTTAACAAGGCTCATTGAAAGAGTTTTAAACTAGATTGGAAGGGGGAAAGGGATAAAACCAGGCTTGCTACACATAAGCCTGGGGGTAGCACGCCAATGTGTGAGGTACAGTACACAAGTGACGTTCTTCAGTCTGTCATCTGAGTAGAGGCAGGGGATGGAGAGCCATGTGGCAGCAAAGTCACAACGGTTATTGATGTGTTAGAAACCATGGAAGCGCCTTAGAATGGTCACATAGGAATCAGGGCTTGTCCCTCAAAAAAGGTGGCAGGATCAATAGCCAAGCTCAACTGCATTTACACCAATGCACGCAGCATGGGCAACAAACAGGAGGAGCTGGAAGCCATTGTGCAGCAGGAAAACTATGACATAGTTGCCATCACAGAAACATGGTGGGATGACCTGCACAACTGGAGTGCTGCAATGGATGGCTATAAACTCTTCAGAAGGGATCGGCAAGGAAATAGAGGTGATGGGGTAGACCTGTATGTTAAGCCCAGAGCTTAATAGTGGGAATGATAGGGCTGAGTGTTTATGGGTAAGAATCAGGGGGAAGGACAACAAGGCAGACATCATGGTGGGAGTCTGCTATAGACCACCCAACCAGGATGAAGAGGCAGACAAAATATTTTATAAGGAGCTGGGAGAAGTTTCACAATCACTAGCCCTTGATCTCATGGGGGACTTCAGTTTGCCAGATGCCTGCTGGAAATAAAATACAGCAGAGAAGAAACAGTCCAGGAGGTTCCTGGAGTGTGTGGAAGAGAACTTACTGAGACAGCTGGTGACGGAGCCAACCAGGGAAGGCACGCTGCTGGACCTGTTTGTGAACAGAGAAGGACTTGTGGGTGGAGGCTGTCTTGGTGCTTGAAGGCACAGGGATCACGAAATGAGTGTTTGATTCTCAGAGTAGTAGGGAGGGGGGTCATCAGAACTGCTACCTTGGACTTCCAGAGGACAGACTTTGGCCTGTTTAGGAGCTTGGCTGACAGAGTCCCTTGGGAGGCAGTCCTGGAGGGGAAAGGGGTCCAGGAAGGCTGGGCATTCTTCAAGAAGGAAATGTTAAAGATGCAGGAGCAGGCAGTCCCCATGTGCCAAAAGAATAGCCGTCAGGGAAGAAGACTGGCCTGGCTGAACAGAGAGTTATGGCTGGAACTCAGGAGAAAAAGGGCAGTTTATAACTGTTGGAAGAAGGCACAGGCAATTCAGGAGGACTACAAGGATTTCATGAGGTCACGTAGGGAGAAAATCAGAAGGGCCAAAGACCAATTAGAACTTAAGCTGGCTACTGCCATAAAAGATGATAAAAATCGTTTCTATTAAAAAAAATACAGTCACACCAAAAGGTGGGCTAAGGAGAATCTCCATCCTTTATCAGATGCAGGGCCAAACATAGTGACAAACGCTGAGGACCAGACTGAGGTACTTAATGCCTTCTTTGACTCAGTCTTTAATAGTAAGACCAACTGTTCTCTGAGTACGCAGCCCCCTGAACTGGAAGACAGGGATGAGGAGCAGAATGAAGCCCCTATAATCCAAGGGGAAATGGTCAGTGCCCTGCCACACCACTTGGACACACACAATTCTATGGGTCTGGATGGGATTCACCCAAGGGTACTGAGGGAGCTGGCAGAAGTGCTCACCAAGCCACTTTCCATCATTTATCGGCAGTCCTGGCTAACCGGGGAGGTCCCAGTTGACAAGAAGCTAGCCAATGTGACACCCACCTACAAGAAGGGCTGGAAGGAGGATCCAGGGAACTACAGGCCTGTCAGCCTGACCTTGGTGCTGGGGAAGGTTATGGAAGAGATCATCTTGAGTGCCATCACGTGGCATGTAGAGGACAACCAGGAGATCAGGTCCAGTCAGCATGGGTTTACAAAAGGCAGGTTGTGCTTAACTAACCTGACCTCCTTCTATGACAGTGTGTCCTGATTAGTGGAGGAAGGAAGGACCGTGGGTGTTGTTTACCTGGACTTTAGTAAAGCTTTTGACACCGCTTCCCACAGCATTCTCCTGGAGAAACTGGCAGCTCATGGCTTGGATGAGTGTACTCTTTGCTGGGTAAAAAAACTGACTGGACGGCCAGAACCCAAAGAGTGGTGGTGAATGGAGTTAAAACCAGCTGGCTGCCGGTCACAAGCAGTGTTGCCCAGGGCTCAGTATTGGGGTCAGTTCTGTTTAACATCTTTATCAATGATCTGGGCGAGGGGACTGAGTGTACCCTCAGTAAGTTTGCAGATACCACCAAGCTGGGTGGGAGTGTTGATCTGGTTGAGGATCGGAAGGCTCTACAGAGGGATCTGGACAGGCTGGATCAATGGGCTGAGACCAATTGTATGAGGTTCAATAAGGCCAAGTGCCCAGGTCCTGCTCTTCGGTCACAACAACCCCATGCAACGCTACAGGGTTGGGGTGGCTGGAAAGCTGCCTGGCAGAAAAGGACCTGGGGGTGTTGGTCGACAGCCGGCTGAACATGAGCCAGCAGTGTGCCCAGGTGGCCAAGAAGGCCAATGGCATCCTGGCTTGTATCAGAAATAGTGTGGCCAGCAGGACTAGGGAAGTGATCGTCCCCCTGTACTCAGCAAGTCAAATGCTGTGTCCAGTTCTGGGTCCCTCACTACATGAGTGACTTTGAGCTGGAGCATGTACAAAGAAAGGCAATAAAGCTGGTGAAGGGTCAAGGTGGGCATTGGTCCCTTCTCCCAAGTAACAAGTGATAGGACAAGAGGAAATAGCCTCAAGTTACGTCAGGGGAGGCTAAGATTGGATATTAGGAAAAACTTCTTCCTTGTAAGGGTTGTCAAATATTGGAACATGTTGCCCAGGGAAGTGGTAGTCACTATCCCTGGAAATATTTTAAAGATGTGTAGATGTGGTGGTTAGGGATATGGTTTAGTGGTGGACTTGGCAGTGTTAGGTTAACAGTTGGTCCTGATGATCTTAAAGGTATTTTATAACCTAAACGATTCTTTGATTCTACGAAAATATCTATGATTCTGCCCCCCATCCCCCTATCCAACTACACTTCTGAATATAACCAAGCATCAGAAACTTGTCAAGTATAAATGCAGGCATCCAGCATGGCTTAAATGGAAACTAACTTCATGATCCTAGAGATTAATATAGTACACTGTAACAGTCCTCTATGTTCAAGAGTGTTAAAATTAACTTCCCCCTGCCTCATTCACATATGACCATTGCTGTTTACAGTTTATCAGCCATAGCTTGTTGCCCTTACAGTAAATGTGCCAATTTCTTTGTGAAAAAGAATTTAAGGAACCTGGACATTTAGCTTTTGCATAGTGAGCTCTATACTCTCTTTTCAATAATCTTGTTGCTTCTTTTCTTGCTGCCATGCGTATAAACTGACTGCTATTTTTTAATTCTTTTTGTGATGGTTTAAAAGCTTTGCAATTTTTCAGTTCTACCCTTTGATCAAGTCTTCTGCCAATTGCTTATAAAAACTATCAAACTACTTTGGGATTGGTCTTTTTATGAAAGGTCAAAAACTTTTCTCAGAAATTCTGGGTTTTTTTATATATCCATAAAACCACTACTCATCTCCATTCCCACAGAAAGAAACACATATAGATGGTTAGATGCATCTTTTAATACTTTATAGTTAGTTTTTTTTTAAAAACCCATATTTTACCTTACTAGAGGTAGCACTTCTAGACTTTCCAGACTCAGAGTCACTACTAGAGTCTGATTCTGACTTGGAGTCGGAAGAACTTTCTTCTGATGAAGTGGACTCTGTATCAGAGGAACTGGATGTGCTTCTCTTTTTGGAGACCCCCTTTGCTTTCTTTTTAATGTCCTCTGAATCACTACATATTGAAAAAAGAGAGACATGTAAAACCACCAAAGGAATCTGCTTAAGCAATATCCTACGTTAACATTTCAAAGTTTTACTAAATGAGTTTTAATTCAGTATTTCTTCATGATAAAAAACTCAGCTAAGATGGCAGAAGTGGTAGCTTATTTAAGGGTACACAAAATCGTTCTATCACATTACACAATGAATCATCACATATAACCTAAGCCAACAAATCAGCCAAGCATAAATGTGAACATATTAAACACTAAAAATGTTATTTGCATGCACCAAGCCTATGACATTTCAGAAAGAAGTGCAGACACCCTTTTATATAAAGAAACTTTCAGATTATTCCACCTATGATTAACAGAATCTTGATGGGTTATAAGAGGTTTTTGCAAAGTAACTGCTTTAAAAAAATATAAATCAAGATATTGAATTTATTCCTTCATTAATTTTTCTAAATAAATTTTTCTAGAAATAAGACCTATGATGTCTACAAATGTTTCAACCCATTAAAGAGTATATACAGAAAAGCTACCATGTTCTGACATCTTTGGTCACATTGAGTACCCTACAGTTAACAGACTTCAGAGACGCTATTATTCACACAGTAAAGTTCTGTTCACCCTGGCAATGTTGGATTATGTTGCCCTGTGCTAACAGCTACTGAATATTACTAAAATCTGCCTTGTTTGCTTCTAATAATACTGTATCTATCACTACTCTTTTGTCTCAGGGGGAGTTACTACCCAGAAATATCACAGGAAATGCAAATTGTTTTCCAATAGTTATCATGGAGCAAATAGGTTAGTATTACATATAGAAAAAAACTCTGTTCTTGGATCTGCAAGCAACCATTTTATACCTCCAAATCAGGTGTTTCATACACCACCTGATTCAGGTTCCTCCCCAAGACAATAAATCAGTTACTAAAGTGCTTGGAGGGTAACAAGGTCAACAATAATTAAACAAATCCAGACCACTCAACTATTAAGAGTCCCTTTGGACTTAAATTAAGTTGTTACAGATATTTGCTTAGCTTTAGGAGCAGTAGAAAAGAATGTACCATGCTGCATTACTCCTTGAGATAGGAATGTTTTTAGAAGGGAAAATACAGAGAAAAGGAATTGGAAAATGCAACGTGACAGAAAGAAAAATAGTTAGGGCAATGCCTGCCTCCTCCCAAGAACTTCGCAGGACTGGATTGCCTAAATCAAATTTAATCAAAATTATTAAAAATCCATTATAACTTTTAAGCCATGCTAATAATGCCTACCCATGTAACTGAAGTGGAAATCAACTCCCAAATTTTTGTCAAAGGCATTTTTTTTTGAAAGCAGCAAACTTGAAGCTTACAAAGCTAAAAATGAAACAAGAGTACGCTTCACAAAAACAGTCTAACGTCGCATATCTGACCATTAAAATCATGCTGAAAACATCAGTACTATCAAAATTATGTTTCAATATGACAACATTTAAAAACTTGTTTGAGGTCAATGAGTTAAACATAAAAATTCACTATTGTATACTGTTTTAAAGTTTCTTCTTCATGATGTATAACACAGGTACTGACAAAATTATCTGCCTTTCCTCCATGGCCATTGAACAGAAGCTGTAGTTGCATCAACAAATAAGTTACTGTGAACCCATTATATAAATGAAGTAAGTTGTTTTTCAACAATTTATCCTTAGCTTATCTTTAAAATTAGATTTGAAGATTAAAAATGTTATTTTATTGTACATCAGCCAGGTTTGATGGGTAATCATTGTTTACCTTACTGCTTAAAATTTCAGATGTTATTCTAATGAAAAGAATTTACTGGTAACTAGCTTTTTAACTTTGCGATGATGAAAAGCCTGTATTAATTTAACCTACAGATTTCATTTGTTCTGAACAGGAAAAACAATATAAATCACTTTTAAAATCATTAAATCCTGACTTAAATTAATAAAGTCATAATTAGGGCATTATGCTGTGTTTGTTATGGAAGTGGCAAGGCGAGCTGCTTTAATTACTGTCTGTAATAAAAGGAGCAGAGTGCGTACTGTGCCCCAATCAGCGCTGTCAGCCACAACTGAGCTGAGCCGCAAACTCATCAAGTGAGCTGGCAGCAGACTACAGAGTAAAGGGCGATCATGTCTGCAGAGGCCACTTGCTGACAGCAGTGGAAGAAACAGATTCATACAATCCAAGGTATTAGCCCCAATTACTCAGAATTTTAATGATACTTTAATACATGATAATGCTGTTGATAATGGGCAATCTTAGAAAGCGCTAACACTTAAATATCTTATGACCGTTTCCCTTCACAGCCCTTGCCTCTAATATTTGGATGATAATCTTTTTAATATAACATTATTTAGAAAAATCAATTGTCTTAGTTACATAATGGCAAAGTGTTGAAGGACTCAATTTCAGCTCTCAGTAAAATTGCTGCAAAAGGTAATTAAGTGTTGCACACAATTGTTTGATCACTTATTCAGCCTCCCAAGGTTACATCAATTTTCAAAAAGCCACCAAGATTTTACTGAAGTCAGAAATTAATTCCAAATATAAAAGCAGTCTGATTAATGAAAATATGAACCCAGTTCATACACTGAATATTGTTGGCATACAGTGAAACAGGAGGCATCACTCCTTGGCCAATACGTCACCAAAAAGGCTTAGCAGACTATTTACAGGAAGAATGCTTTAACAGCTAGTGTCACAAAAAATTAAAACCATACAAATGTATACCTACCTTTCAGCAGCAGCTCTAGATGTTTTCTTTGCAGTACTTTCTTTGCTATCTGATTCACTGTCACTTAATTCTTCTCTGGAAGAGGAATTCCCACTACTCTCATCACTGCTGCCTTCCTCCTTATCTTCCTTCTCACTTTCACTGCCAGACTCACTCTCTGAAACAAAAACAACTCTTGCAATTTTTTTCCAAATATCTTACATAATTAGTATTTTAAGAATCCAAGTTTGTTTTAAATAAAAAAATGGTTTCGTATTTTAAGATCCAATTACAAGCTTTAGCATTATTTACCCTGTGTCAAAGGCGGACAAGAAAACCACTTTCCTCTAATGTTTACAAAATTTTGTTAGTTAAAGACCTGTCCTCTTCAGCCTACAGTATTATATTTTACCAAATTAGCAAGCCCAATAATAAATGAATTGCATGTGGATTCTTCAAAATTACATAACCCTATCAGGAGTTGCAGATGACCTCAAATGCTCTAATCTATACATTCACTTAACTGCAAGATTATCTTTTCAACCAATTGCTTAATTAGATAATCTGTTCTTGAATACTGATAGTGACGATGATTGAATTGCTGATTTAAACAAATTATTCATCCATTAATCATATAGTTACCAAATATTCAAATATCTGAAGTGAATCTATTCTTTCCGTGCTTCAGAGATCATTAACTTCAGTGATGTAATTCCTAAGCACTTCTTCTGCATATTTCCTCAGCTTAGGAATGAGAGGGAAGAAGTTCCACATTCGGATTTTAAGGTGTCCCTCTTCCATTCAGTTCAACGCTGATAATTCTTTTAAGTCTCTAATGCTAACCATTTTCTGAGTCTGAAGTCTTGAATTGCAGAATGATATTCTCCACTACATCTGAACTATATGTATTAACATCTACAGAAACATCTGTCTTGGGGAACTGCCTATTTGGCATTAAGTGGGAGACTGGTCAGAAGAACTTTTGCTCACTGAACTTGATGGGCTGCCGCCAGTTATCTTCTCCATCATCACTCTCATTATAATAAATAGAAAATGTTGCGTAGAACTTGACAGCAATACTATAACACAATTTACTGAATAAACCCCAGGAAAGCCTACACAGTTAAACAAGTTTGGCCATTTATCAACACAGCAGCACATGCTATCAAAATAGTACTTCATCAACAACAAATTCCAAAAAACATTCAAGACTTAAGGTTCCCAACAACAGAGCATACAGGCACTCTTCCCACAAAAAGTTAGGTGCCTTTAGTTTTAACTGGAGTTACAAACGCTTACCACTCTTACTGGACTCAAAGCAGGACGAAAATAGCATGCCAGCTTTTTTAACTCGGAAAAAAAGCAAAGTCTAACTCATTTAATAAATACACCAGCCACATCTGTAAAATTAGCAGGTATTGCACTGCTACAGTGAATATGAAGTTTTCCCCCCAATTTCCTGATTTTTTACATAGCTCTGGCTTTTTAAAAATTTTTTTCTGATTCTTTTTAAGTAGTGATCAGTTCTGAAAATACAGTTCTCCAGGCAACAGAGACGCAAGTCCCTTTCCAAACACCTACCTGACATACTGGTATTGGCAGACCCATCTTCCTCCTCTTCTGATTCAGAGTAGAACTTTTCAGTAGGTTTCTCTTTCTTTGGCTTACCTAGAATTCCAGTCCATTCCTTTGCCTGTAAATAAATTTCAACTGAATTTTACTTTTACAACCAGTAATACAAAAATATACACATAACATGGCAAAGAAGAACACTCACAGTAGTAGTATTAAGCAGTTTCTAAATAAATCCTCCAAGCAAGTCAAGAGAAACTATTACACTTCTCTTACTTTAAACAATTAGAACTAAAAGTTTCGTACATACTATAAAAGGTGAAATATGTCTATTAGACAGCCTAGAAAAAGATTTACTAAGGCAGATTAAAAGCATCAGTAACCATAAATAAATTTCTGTGCCAAAAGAACCTGAAGTCTGAGAGTTTTATCTCTAGATCCAGCTCAGTTTAGCCTGTGACTAGAATGAAGGGTAAATATGGCTAGTCATCACCTTTATCATCCCAAGTTTTAAGAGGAAAGCAGATGTGGACCCAGTAGGCAATAGGAGTTCCAGCAGCCACAGAGGAATTATATTTCAGTTCCTTTGCAATTCTTCAAATAAAAGTAATTCTCACCACCAAGAAAACACCAAAACATGGCAATACTTTTGCCAAACTTCTTTTCTTTCCATATCCCCCTATACTACTAGAGAAGCAGAAGAAAAACTCAGGTCAGAAAAAAAAAAACAAACAGGCAGACAACTGTATCAATAGAGTGATACAGGTCTGCCTCAGTGATCACTCTGATCTGGAATAAGAGTGAGCTCTAACAGTGACCTGCAATGGCATACGGCTCAAGACACAATGGCTTCCTCTTAAACACCAAAAGCTGCTAAAGCTTTGTAATGCTCCACCCAGCAACTAGTATTTTAAAAAGCTAATATACTTTTGCATATAAGTGACAATTTAATTGTGGATTGCAGCTTAACAATTCAGCTTTATTCACGTACATTGTATAGGCACATGTAGTATCACAGGAACCACAAAATTAATGGCAATGAGACACTCTCCAAAAAAAAATACTTGCAAAAAAAAACATGGGGAAAGGATTTTCACATTTGTTCTGAGGTTTAAATGGTTGGAGGGAGATGTTTTCTATTATGTTGTAGATGGATGTTACTCCATTTGATCAATTTCCTGCAATACTTTTTGGTTTTATGGACAAAGGTACCTCCACACAATCTTTCATGCCAAAGCTGTAATTTATAATCCTCCACTTGAGCTGATTGCCTTCAGATTCTCCCCATAAAAGCTTTCAGAAGTTTGTACACAAATACCTCTTTTCCTGAAATGTATATAAGAAGGTTGACAAATCCTATTAAAGTACTAAGGAGAAATGCTTGTTGTACCACATTGCTGTTCACTAGCTTCTGCAAGTCATACCTATTTTTTAGAATTTTCTCTATCCATTCTATGCCTATCATCGTCTATGCAAATTAATTCATGTGCGATTTACTGTAGAAGTTGGTTCATGACAAGAACCATGTGGTCTTCTGGGTATACCTGTTACAACAACATACCTGCAGGAGCACCATCAGCACATTATATTCCAATACATTTATATTTCTGTTACTGTTCAATAACTTTCACTGACATTTAGTACGACTCTCATACCTGACGCATAAATCACAACTGCAGTACCAGAACATGACAGAGTTTACAACCCAGTAAGAAAAAGCTATTGGTAGTAGACCACCAGTCCCTTAATGTCAACAAATTAGTGCACTAATAAATGATGTTTTCCTATTGTAAACTTTTCTAAGTCTCTCCAGATGACCCAAAATGTAAACTCTGGTCTCTTCCAAACTTTATACTTCAAAACATACATATTTTTTCCCCCTGCCACTGCCTTTTGTTTCTATTACCTATTTTTTTCCATTTAGACTTGGATTTGTACACGAGCAAACCTCCACTCAACTTCTACTTTTGTAGTACAGCTACACTCATCATTAACAGCAATTAACATACTGCAACACAGTGAGTATGAGGTATGAAATCAAAAGTGAGATGGAAGGGGAAAAAAGCCCATTTAATCCATGAGCGAATCAGAGGTGGCTCAACTACAGTTGATTCACTTCTCTCAGTGAAAAGAGCAAGCACCATGTAGGTTTCCAAATGTTCCATTTCCAAGCTAAAATAAGCAACATGGATGTTGACTTCCATCAATGTTTTTCAGTCCAGCATACGGATACTATTTAAATACTTCTATTTTAGGCTAATATTCTATATTCACAAGTGCCTTCAGCAAAGTTACTTTTAATGATGCTGACGTACCGACTCAGCTACATCGACGTTTCGGACAGAGGGGTCAGGTGCCACCTCTGGCCATTCAGACAGCTCCAGGTAGCCAGTGGCTCGGCTGTTCAGTGTGTGAGACAAGGTGCCAAGCTGGAAATGATCCCGATCTATTAAAAAAAAAGAGAGGAGGGGAGAAATACACAAACACCATGAGCTCTACCACAAAGAGCAATCTTAATCAGGGCTAAAGGTAATTGCCATTATATTACCTCAAATGTCATGGAATAAATATAAACTAGGAAGCTCTTCATAGGTCAAAAAACTGATTTCAGTCCATAGATTACAATAATCTCCCCCATAATGGTCAATAAAAAAGCTAATCAGTCAGTGTGTTTAGAGGTGTTGCTCTGAAATGTAGCTTCTCTAAAAATTACTTTACTGTGAATATTAAGAATGACAGCACAGTTAAACAATCCATATACATGTCTTGGCACAAACACATCCAGAATTTTAATAGTTTTTCTTCAAAATGGACCTCCTTTTAGAGCATCAGAACTGGGACTAAGTAAGTATGAAAATTAAAATTAAAATTGCAAATTGTCACAATAACAGAGCATTTTTAATTAAGATAACCTGATAACCTTTTAATTTGAGAAGACAGACAATGGTTCTTACTTGTAAAAAGACGGAAAATGCACAGGGAAAATTATGACTTCGGAGAAAAATACTAAAAATCTAATCTATTGAGATTCAATTTATTTCAGATTCATAAAACGTTTGCAATACTCACATTAACAATCTTCTATTAAAGTCCAGACAAAAGACTAGAGCTATTTTCCTAAATTGAAGAACAGTTTTCCTCAGAAGACACACCTTCTGTTATTTAAATCGAATTTAAAATCCACATGAATAGAAATGGATCAGTTTGTCAGGGTTTATCAACAGAGAAATGCATTGTGTTTGCACCATGCAAACCTTGCTTGCTGAAAAGCAAGTAAGCAGAGCGAGTACCCTTGCATATTAATCATTCGTATTTGCTAAGTGACAAAATTTGTAAGCATATTTGAAATAAAATAGGCTGCCACATTCCTTTACCAAATGATTTGGGCAGTTATACCTTTAAAAGGAGACTCAAGCAATGGGGCAGGTTTCTGTGCCAGAAATATTTTTTTGGCATATTTGCTTAAAGCTCCACTCTTCTCATTCGGAACAATAAGCTGCCTAATAAATCTTGTACGGTCTCTGATGTCGTAGCTTTGATCATACTTGCCGAGATTTAATACGTACTGGGTAAGCAATTTTGTCTGTGGAAAAAAACAGGACAAGAACAGAATACAAGTTATTTATGATTATTGATAACTCTGGATAAACATATTTAAAGAGGTAATAAAAATGAATGGTTATGTCAAACAAATGTTGTTCCACAGGGAATATGCATTTCTAAAGCTGCAAATGGAATTCTGCAGCCAAAGCACATGTCCTCTTCTGTATTGGGGAGGTGAATGCTGAGTACTGAGAAGCAGCCATGTGCTAGATTATTAAACTGCTGAAGTGGAAAGAAAGGCATCATTAAAAAAATAATCATATATGGCAAACCCGCTGAAGGGTCTACGTGAGGATAATGAATGTGGAAATACAACTAAAAACATGGCACTCAAAACTTAATCGGAAAAATATGCAGGACATCAAAACATCAGAGGGTATTAGGGGGCTGGCAAACTGCTTCTGCTGAGGTGTGTTTTATGAAGAGATACTGTCCCTGGCATAAGCAGTGTCTGCACTCTGACTGCACTCAGTTACTTTATCCTGAATTATGACCCATTAAAGCAGACACATGAATCACTGAACTGGATTACTGCAAATTATTTGCAGTGCATTTAGCTGTTACTTTTTCATAAAAGCAAGCTGCTGATGCCCTCTAAAAACCAGGATAAAAGACTTCTTTCATTTTTTTCTTGAAGCTTAAAGCCTCCAGTAATATCGGTCATTTATTTATTTATGTAAGAGAGCAACTTATATTATCAAAGCTTTTTACAGCATAATAGGACTTCCTAATTTGATGTCTGAAAATATTAACATGTATTAAATAATTTTAATAATTCAGTAAAATTTTTAAAACTGAAAAAGAATATAAAAATCTAGGAAGACTGTCCCAGTATCTTAGAAATAATATAGCATAACCAGAATAATAGTGCTGAACAGGCTTGTATCCATTACATACGTTTGGAAGAAGTATGCCGCTTTCTTTATATACAAACAAACAAGAAAAAGAGCAAAAATAATATATCATCATAAGGAAGAAAATTTTTAGTATTTCAACTCAGAATGGATGAATAACATAGAGTTAAAAATGTATTGTCAAGTAGGATTTCTTTTCTTTCTACAAAGAAACAACCTTGCAAATATATCTTGTTTATCATGCTATTGTTATAACAATAACACAGTTTCAATCGTGAGTGGAAAAATACGTAAAAATGAAAATCAGTCAATTTTGTTATGTGCATTTGCTAAGAAAAGTTCAGTTTAATAATTTCCACCTTGAGGATGCAAGTTAAAGCTTTTTCTAGAGATGTAAAAATACTTTTTCAGAATGTTTCAGAGTATTGATTAACTCTTGTAAGAGAAATACACAGTAAACAAAAAATGGTTTCAATTTTGACCACATGAAATGCAATGTATGCAAGTATTTCACAAAATACCCTATGGTACCAAAGCTTGAAGCAATTAGTCATATTACATTAGAATAATAGCAGAAGTATAGTTAAAAATATTTTTTCCCCCAAGGTACTGTCTTAGCTCTGGGAAAGGTAAAACTTTCCCATATGTATTTCACAGCTTATTGGTAGCTATTTCTATATCAGGGTATAAAATTTTAAACAACTGCATCAGAAAGAACATACGTAATCTGCACTCATGCAGGACTTATGCTGTTCAATCTAAATGGAATTGGAAGGGAGGGTTTCCAGGTAGCATGAATTAAAATAAATGAGGGATACCTCCTGCAGCCTTTGCCATCACTTCTACTCTGTAAAACAAAACAAAACTCCTTGCTGTCATGGCAGAAAGCTCATCAGAATGGATCATAAAACACAGTCGTCTTTGCTTGTGAATTGCAATAGGGATGGGGAAAGTTGAGGGCCTTGCTATCATGGTGGGCACTTCCGGCTAGCATTGATGGAATTAGATAAAGAGTTGATCCTGAAATACTGCCTTTTCTTTAAAGGGATCATTTTCTCCATGATCTTTTCCCTTTTCCTCTTCCCTTTCCTCTCCCCTAAAATATCTCTTCCATATTGTCAAATACAAATAAAGACACAAAAAATTTACATGGATGAATACTCCATACCTGCAAGAGGTCTCCTTGTAAGCATCATATATAGTATAAATAGTTTTCACAAAACAGCAAGAAAATGCTATTTTTTTTTCTTGTCTTACGGCAATGCAACCAAACAAGTAGTAAAGCTTTTCTATGTGGAGGTAGCTAATAGAAACAATTAATTTTAATTAAAAACAAAACATAAACTAATGAATACACATCAGTTTTTCCAACAAAGGAATATCTATAAGAAGTTGAAAATTAATTTGAGCAAGCATGTTAATTTGGTGAAATGTGACAGAATCTGCACACCATAGCTGCTTCATAGAACAGTATGACAAAGCATTCTAATATATGATATCATACATCATATATCATATATCAACAACACCTGTTATCTGGACATGCTCATCATATAGGCATAATAAAATTTCTTTTATCCCCATACTGTTACAATCTTACTATTTTTTGTACATTTTGGTTTGGCTAATATGAAAAGTATACTTCAAGTCATCCTTCAGTAACGTTTCTAGAATTTTCTAGTGGTAATTGTTCTATTTAAGAATTTAAGGCATATCCTATATTAGCAGCAATTAACCTTTTGGTAGATCCCCAGTTGAAAAAATTTATAATACAAGTATCACCAACAGATGAGGCTCTACAATGGGAGAGAAACCGCTACCTATTCACTCTTTGATATCATTAGCTTGCAGTAACTTGATTCTTTAGGTACTTAAGATAAGGTTACTGTGCTAAACCACGTTAAACGTCTATTTACACACTGGGACTACTCAGGGCTTTCTCTCGTAGGACTCCTACTGTTACACAATGGAAGCCCATCAAAATCTCTTTATTTTTCCTGCTATATGCACGAAATAGCTAAGACAATTAGATGACTTATCTTCTGCATAACACTTTCTCTTATATGAGCTCCATTTAGACAGCTACCTAGCACATTCAAAAGGACTTTCATGTCTCTAATTGATGAAAAAGGAAGTAAGTTTACCAAATAACACAGACAACAGAGGAAAGCCTGTTCTTACTACATATTTATGCAGATAGGATTGAACCCAAAACTCTTCCTTAACTTAGAAACAGCCTTTGAAAATTCATGGGGTGATTATAGGATTTAAAGGCTATTGGAAATTGTTGTAAAAAATCCTGAATCTTAAAAAGCATTCCTGAGAATGTGCTGCATAAAGTGTTTGAACATATGCATAAGGAAATGATCAGCAAATAAAATAATGTATTTACAGAAAGGGAAAAAATAACAAAGTCTTATTTCCCAGAATTTTGTGCTTTTCTCCAAACAAGATTTAACAGATGAGTTTTACCTGCCTTTCTGTCACCTGGGGAAAGAGCTCTTTTTGTCTGTTTGGTTGGTGTTGAGTTTCTCTTGGCTATCTTACCACTACTTTTCAATAAAGTGACATTGCATCTTTGAGATTTTCACAACTTCATTGACTTTGGATGAAACTGATAAAGGAGTCAAAAATGTGTTACATGGTGGGACAGGATATGGAGGGAGAAAACATTGGGATGAGGAGAGATGGACAGACTGACAACTGAGCAGTCAAGTGTAAAAGATTTGCCTTCAGGTTTGAAAAATCAGCCTGAAAAATGCTGGACTTGTTAGGAACTGAAGTCATTCCAGAAAGAAATGTTTTAATACTGAGTGAGTAAAGAATAAGAGTGTTGCCAGCTCCTAAAGGCAAAACTATCACGTTCTAGTTTGCAAGGAGTTTTGAATCAAGACAAGTCATCAACCTACTCTGTTAGAATTTTGTATATGAATAGCTTGACCACTTGAGAAGACAATTTATTTTTCCACAACCTAAAACTAAAAGAGGAAAACACTCTTTGATGAAATTCATCATTTAGTAGGCATCTCAGGAGACAATTTCTTCTGCTTTATCATCAATACTGTATTTGAATAGAGGGTTATGCACACTTAGAATGACAGTTTCAAATATATTAAGACATGAAAGTGGAAAAACAGCATCACAGAAATTATCATCCTCTTGTAGGCAATGTACTTTTGGCCAAATACGGTGCAGAAAAATTAGTATAAAATTACAAAAATTATACAGAAAATAGTAAATACTATGTAAGGGGCCAAAAGGAGACAGTTTAGATAAACAAACCAATCTTTTCTTAGCCCAGTCAGCACTTTCATTAAGATGAGCACTGACAGAAAGAAGTCACCTTTTGTTACTGCGCCATTTTAGACTGCATAAGCAAAGGACAAGCATTCATTCTTATCTGAATGCATGGCAAGACAGTTCATCTCCCACATGCCCTACAGAATAAAGTCTCAGACAGATCAAGTCTGCAGTTGGATATAGTTATCAACGAACAAGAAGACACCACAATTGTAGAAGTACAAGATCCTGTGCTGTACAAGCTATTGTAAAACAGAGGTCGAGCAGCCCGGGAAGGTGTATACATCTCAGACAATGTATTTCTTTTATACTTGGAAAAAAAAATCTTTGATTTTACAACCTTTTACAGAAATAATTGGAATTACAGTGAAAAATTAGTGTCAAGATGCTATATTCAATAGTCAGAGAGTGACAAAGTTCACAGTTCTGTCATTGAGAATAATGAGGCAGCTGGCACCTTTCATAGCCATTGTTTTCAGCTGCCTGGAGATTTAAGTTCACCTTTTTGGACTATCTGACATTTTTAGATTATCTTTATTACTAGAGATTATCAAAATCAATCCAAAGTGAAATAGTAAGAAATACAGAAAAAGGGAAAGCAGTTACTATCTTTAAGATGAGCACTGATGGAAAGACATAACAAGATCTTTTGCAGACATCTCCTCTTAGACATCCTGAACAAAAAATGAGCAGCTTCTTGTTGAAATTGACAGTATTCCCTTGAAAATTATGGTCGTAGATCCAGAAAACAGCAAACCACATCTGGAAAATCTATCTCATATTAGTAATACAATTTACAAATCTTTCCTATTGACGTGAATTAAAAAATCCACAATCTGCCCAAAAAAGAAAGAGGCAAAAAAGAGGGATCTCATCACTACATTCATATTTACAATCTAGCACGTACTCAAATACTCACGGTTACATTTATTCTGTTACATTTCTTGAAAACTGATGTTCAGCTTTTCTTCGTAGAATAATATGCACTACTTTTGGTTACTTACATAAAAGAAATCACCACTAATCTATACAGACTGTACAAAATCTATCGTGACTCTAAATAGGTACACTTCTGAGTTTAAGCTTACCTGCTTTGAGTTTGTTAAATAGAGTTTTGCACCCAAATTTAAGATCTGCAACTTTACAAGATCATCTTCGTTAGTGAAGCTCTTGGCTGTCTTTCTCAAAACATCAGGTGCGATCTTTGGAACCCGCTCACAGTACTCGCCGATGAGCCAGAGAATGCTGGCTCTGGCTACTGGAACCTGAAAAAACATGGCACACTCTAAGTTAACACATTCACAAAGACTATTTGCATACTTGTATGCTTCTGTGTTCAGTAACAAGTTGAACAAAATACTGTTTAAAGACAATTGCCATGCAAGAAATACAGATGTCAACTAAATACTGTTCAACACAGCCACTGTGGTAAACTGAATATTCATGCAAATGTAAGATACAGATCCTGCCCCAAAAGAAATGCATTATGAGTTAACAAGACAGGGCAGGAATGGAAACAGAGGCATACAGAAGAGATGTGTTCATGTTCACAGTACAAGCTGGTGGCAGTTGGGAAGAGTATCTGAGTCTTCAAGGCATGGTTGGGAATTCTTGCCACCAGGTTAGCCTAAACATCATGTTGAAACAAAACAGTGCTTTTTGGTGACTATATTCCTATAGAAATGGATTCCAACAATACAGCTTCCTCAAATCCTGCCTATCTACTTTAAAAGCACAAGAATTTCTTTAGGACTATTGCTATCTTTCCTTCATTTTAATTTAAAAATTTATGACAGTAAGATTCATATGTTTGCAAATGTCCAAGGCCAGCTGAACACAGAATTTTGGAGAAACAGGAGTTCAAAATTAGAGTTCCCAATTTCTGAATAGGATCTAACCCCTTAACTGAAAACACTCTGACCAGAAACTTCACACAGGTCTTGCCGTTTTGGAGCTGCATGACTGTTTCACCAAAATAACTAGCAGCAGCAGTTTTTAGACGAACTCCCAGCTTATGGTGCTGACTTCAAAAGCACAGTACTGCCACAGAGGGAGGAGAAGCAAAATGGAAAAGCACACAAGGAAACAGAAGCTCATGCTCCACGCAGAGTCTAGCTAGAAGTAGTTAGGAGTTAAATGAAATAATAGATACACTGTCTTCTCAAAGGTGAGCTAGCCTATATTACCTGGTGGTCAAACTAAAAATTGCATCTGTGTTACAAACCTCCCTGAAAACATCGTTCTCATTCCTTGAGAGGAAGGAAGAAAGCCTGCAATGACAAAATTATTCTAGGCAGAAGCATGTCTGGCATAGCATCTACAGACTGTGGAGCTCTCACATTCTATACAAACTCTTGTTCAACAGATGTTGAAATACTAGGGAAAAAAGGTAACTGTTCTATCCTATCAAATGACTGACTGTAGCTTAGAAAAAAGGAAAGCTTCCAACTGTAACTGCAATTGCAGCTAATTTTGCTGCTTTTTCTAAAAAAGTAAAAAACATTTGTACTAACACTTTCCATTACTCTACGCTATACAGTGATCTTTTTTAATAAGCTTACATTTAAGCCAGCAAGAGTTCTGCCTTTGGTAAGATTCATAGGAGAAAAAAGCTTTAGAAATTCAACACTGTGGTTCTCAAAGCACTAATTCTTAGCATCTTTTATATATGTTTTCATTACTTTTCCAGCATATGTCAGTTATTCATATACAAATATCTATTTCTCAGAATTACCATGGGAATCAACTATTAAGCATCCTACTCCATATACACATAAAATTTGAAACTACTGCTCTCCAGCTACACTCATAAAAGGTAACAAATGCAAGTGAACTATCAAAGTTCAGAAGAGCAATTCCCAAACTATGGTCCATAGTCCCTAATAAATGGCCCCTAACCCATACTAAAGAAATACTAACTCTGTTCACAAGAAATTTTAATGATTAAACATGTTTTACTAGTCCAAAAAGCTTAGAACAGCTTTGAATAAAGTCAACCTGACAATATCTGCCTCTACACTTCACATTGTTGCAAACACACACACCAACAAAAATATAAACAGGCATGTCATGGGGTAAACAGGCGACTGGCTCCACTGAAAGAGAAAGCAACCAGATGATGCAAAGACAGAATACAGGAATCTAACAATAACAACAAATCCCCTTAAGAGATAAATGTCAAATCTAAACATGGAAAAGATATTTAAGGTAGACGTAACATAATGCATTGAGAGTTGTATAACACAAGGATTCGACATACATAAATTTATGTAAATATGATTGAGAGACAGAGGAATTTTTTTTTTGTTAATTGACAAAAATTTTACACGGTCTTGGAACTTACAGACTGAGAGAGGGGAAAAAGCTACTGAACAACTGCTAAATTTTAAATGCAGTCAGAATATGTTCGCCTGTGAAATGGTAAGACTGATACCATTATTGTACACTGATTTCAGAAGGGAAA